AACTCAAAGCATGAGCTGCTACAGCTCGAGCTTAAGCACCAAGGCTCTGTAGATGGGGTCTGCAACAACTTGTATCCTCTGCAAATTGGCACGCAGGGGGACCTATAACACACACTTACCAGTGGGTTGCCCAGTGGTCAGCCCAGGATGGATTTCTAGCTGATAAAGTTAAGTACTCTCCCAGCGCTCCATAACTAGCTGTGTGTCATCTTTAGGCATCTGCGCCAGCTCCCCTTCCCACCCACACACCAGCTCTCGCTCTCTTTTTTGGATCTGGTAATTCATCCACAGACACATCAGCAATGCAATGACTCAGTCCTGTGCCTACATCATGCATCATCTACTCTCTCGTGGGCAGCTTTTAAGTTAGTGCAGTGAAAGGAGCGACCAAAAAGAGATGCTCAGAGCATCATGGCTTTCGTATCATGGACGGAGTAGGTATGACATGTTTTGTTTGTAAGGATTCATTTTAATTATCCATGACACCAAACAACAACAGCCTATACCTTTTTATCCCCAGCTCAATGCGAAGCTCCAATGACATATTCATCCACCCCACCTTTTTCTTTCTCCCCCTCTCTCCTTAACAGGCCCTAAACCTGGGATTCCTTTAGCAGGTCTCCCAGCCCCTCCTCACCCAGGGAGCGTGGGAGAATAGCTGGGTAAAATTCCACAGCAGAACCGGAAGCTAGCCGAAATGTAAGTGTTATTGGTGAACTAGAGGCTGGGGGCTCTTGCCCCTAAAGAATGGTCCTCCTTTTCCTTGAACTGCCTTCTGGAGCAAGGCTCAGGGGACATTGCATACTCTTAACTGTGCATCCCAGCACCGCCAGGGGGTAGCTGGCTAGTTTGTGCCTCTCTCCTTGGGCAGCCCTGTTCTTGCCAAAGGGGAGGCATGTGTGTTAGTCTGGTGTATCTCAGCCTCATAGGGTTACAGGCCCGGTAAATATGGCAACAGCAGCACTGGAGGAGTGTCTATTCCAGCAACACCAAAAAGGGAGGTCAGAAGATGTCTTGAGAAGTCAGGAGGGGAGGAGCTGGCCAGCTAGCCTCTGAAATACATGGAAGTGGAGAAGCAGGTAAGTCTCGAATCTGGGTCTGCAGGGTTCCTGGGAGCACCCGCACTCCAGCCCTCCACCTGGCAGTCTGCTGACAATTGCTTAACTGGGACCCATGAAGACCAGCCCCAGTTTGAGGCTCTGCCCCTGAGGTCCAATTGACAGAATCCCAGAGAGGCTGATTGGCCCACTGGCCCTACTTAAGTCAGGAGCATGAACAGGAAAGTGGCTGAACAACTGGGCTCCACCCTGCTCCTGCTCCCTGGCATCCCGACCCGGCGTGACTCCTGGCATCTGACTCGTGGTTCTGCTCTCCAGTGTGTCTCCGGTCTCTGATCTCCTGGTATCCTGACCTACCCAGCTCTTGACTCCTGTCTCATGACTGCAGACTCTGGCTCTGACTCCTAGGTTTGGCTGACCGCTGCCTGGCTGTGACAATAAGATGGACACTGCTGAATACAGAGGCCAATTTCTGGTGTTACCATAGTGGGGAAAGGAGCAGGAAGAGAACATGCAAATTAAGCAGTCCCTAGAAGAATGTCGGTAAGGAGTGTGGAAAGCCACTGAGCTTTGCCCATGAAGACAGGACTGCATGCAACCAAAGCCAGAAGGGCAGCTCTAATAGGGAAGCTGAGTGCCAGCTGAAAACTGTTCCCTACTCCCCACTGAAGCCAGGAGGAAGGGGTGCAGCAACATCACACCCACTGCGGGATATGTACTGTACAAACCCCCCAGGGAATGAGAAACTGCTGAGTAACTGCAGGAACTGAGAAGTTCAGGTCCTTCCTCCTAACCAATGCCCTGCACTTGTAGACTGGCCAAGGCAACAGTGAGAGCATGGCTTACATACCAGTGTGTGTGTCTGTGTTTGACTGCTAGAACCTGTGACAGACACAGGAATGTTCCACAGATGCCAATGTATCCAATTAGCAAGAATAATGTCTGCAGGAAAATGTGCATCACGATAGATTCTAAAGGGTGGGATTTTCAGAAGCACCCTGCATTGACCTAACTCTATGCCTGCAGAATCGGTGATACCCTAAAACTGTTTCCAATGGAGTCAATAGTGAAACTCCACTGGCTTCAATGACAGCAGAATTAGGCCAAGGTTGAGTGCTTTTTAAAATCTCCCCATCATGTGTAAATACATAAGGCACACATGCAGCAAAAAAAAAAACATGCAATTTGTTTGAAATTCTACAACAAACTGACATTTCACTAAGAATGCATCAAATGAAGTGTCTCAGGCCGCTCACTCACTTTGTCCTGCCAACGTGATATCGCTGAAGTTAAACTGGACTCTACCGCACAATTCTTTTTCATCTCATATCTGTACTACACTAAGTAGCTCACTGAGGGCCAGCATTGAAATCCAGGGAGCAATGCTGATTTACATCAGCTAAGAATCTGAATCTAAGAAAAACCACATAGTGTGAAATAACTGAAGTAATCTCCCAGATATTTTCTGCATCATTCCAAATTTCACATTTCATCCACTGCTGGCTGATAATTATAAAATAGAACAACAAAACACCTAGATCAATGTGACAAAAGGACAAAGCAGCATGAATTCTTGTGAAGGAAAATTATGCGCCTCTCGTCCATTAAGATTCTCTGAGCAGATCACCAAAACAGCAAATAAAGGAAAACTGGCTGATGTCATTTATTCAAACTTTTGAAAATCATTTGACAAAGACAAAGATAAGAGGCTATTAAGGAAACGAAGTAGTCACGGGGTGAGAGGTACCGTTCTGCCAGGGGTTTGAAAGTTCCTGTGGGTATGCTCTTACAAGGAGTTAATCACCATACCCTCGCTATAGCAGAGCACGCCCTTCACTTTAACTGTTTTCTATGAATCTTTACCACTGTCACTTGGCAGGCAGAGAGAGGCAGTGTGGGCTAGTGGATAGAGTACTGAATTGGGACTCAAGAGAGCAGAGTTCTATTTCCAGGTTTGCCACTGACCAATGGTGAGACCTTGGGCAAGTCACTTTGTTTGTCACTTTGTTTCTCAGTTTCCCCAACCTCCTTTGTAAAGTGCTTTGAGATCTACTGAGGAAAAGTGCTATATAAGAGCCAGTTATTTTACCTCTGTGTTTTTTTACAGCACCTAGTGGCCCCCAATCCTGATTAGGGTCTTTATTATATAAAAACATCTGCATAGAGGGCCATTGTGACATGGGGTGAAGGTGCATTGGCATGGAAAGGATTTCCAAGTCCCGGTCTATTACACAAGTGATCTGATGTCACATGACAAGACTGATTTGTTGCAGTTTCCAGTTTGGGGTTTTGGGAAATAAAGCAAGCCCTGCAGAAAGGGATATGAAAAGACTATTTTTCCTTCACCAGTTGGCAAGTCTTGCACTCATTTAAATCAACACTTTTACCTTTAGTTTTAACTTCTTTTTTTTTATTAAAGAAAAACAATTAATCGGATGGCTTATTAGGATGAACATCATTTAGCTAATATACAAAAGAATAAGCATTTGGATGGGGGCATTATTTCAGCCCATATTTGTTTCACTCTGCATTTCTAAGGGTCATTGGTGGCTACAGTGGTGGGAAACACTAAAATGTAATTGGCCAAAAGAAAAAATTCTGAATAAACCAGTCTAAGAAAGACAGCCTAATATAGACACAAAGTGCACTAAAGTTAACAGACCCAAAGTAAGAGCCGTCACCTCTTTGTGCAGCCCCCACCTTTAAAGTCTGAGCTTGACATCTCAACATATAGAATGCTAAGGAGATGTTATTTTCATTTCAGATGCACATTGCAGTGAGGAACAATATGAAGAATATTATTTCAGTGCCCTGGGAAAAATTAGCAAGTCAAATATTGAATCAGGCCTCTAGCATATGCTAAGGAGATTGCTTTGATCTTATCCACACTAAAAGCTCTATTATTGAATTTAAAGTCTGTGAACACATATCAGACCACTATACAATGCATATCTGAATACATGTTTGAGAAGCAAGGGATGTTTTGACAAAGGGAAAAGAATATTTTAACTGAAAATATCAAAGTTATTGCACTGATTGAAATACAAATGTTTTTTTTTCCCATCTGTCTAGGTGGCTTTGCTGACAGAGCAACCCTCTACCCAGGAGGAGACTGGGCTTTAGAAGAACTTCAGGAGTCGTCTTGCTCCTGAATTAGGACAGGTGGATCTGGAGGTGCTTTCAAAGAGATATGAGGTTACATGGTAGCAGGCTGACAGCAGTGCACCATGACTCTTTTTGGCTCCCTCTGGTGGGCAGCTACAGTATTAAGCAGCACTAGGGCTTGTCTACACAGGGAAATTGATCTGAATTAGCTTATTCTGCAGTAGCTACTCCGGTCATTTTTCCTGTGTTGAGAAGCCCATCCAGTGGCCATAAATGGGGTTCTACTCCTCTTCCCAATAGCAAAATGTTATATAGGGAAGATTGGGGAAAGTGGGATAATCAGGAGAAGAGAGACAAGAACTTGGATTATTGGAAGATGATGACATTTGAGAATAATCAAGTGGCCCGATTCGGATCATCTTCACCCCCGTGGTTGCTGAGTCAAATTCTTGTTCTCTGATACACCTGTGCAACCCTATTGATAATCCCATTTTGTCTAGGTGCACCTTCCTCTGAAGTATCTGGTGTTGACCATGGCCAAGATAGGACACTACACTAGACAGGTCACCGATCTGACCCAGTATGACAATTACTAGGTACCTGAGTAATGAAAACCTCCCTATATGCCCTCAGGTTAGTGGGAAAAATAACAGCTAAATAAGCGAAATTCATAACCCGGTGCTCACCCCACTATAAAGACAAACATCTGACACAGGATGTCTAAAAACAATTAATTTTATGGAGAACATTTTCCCAAAGGACCACACGGGCACAGCATGTTTTTGTGATAAATGGTGAGATTTCTCTACTGCTGACATGCATATTGGAAAAACTTACCATTTTATTATTGATTTCATGAAAATGAATCTCACAGACTTTTTCCACCACGTCTTCATTTTCAAAAGTTACGAAGCCAAATCCTATTTATTAAAAGAGAGAAAGAAGGAAAGTATAAGGAAAATATTAATTATATTTAAACAACAGAGGCTTCATTTAAATATGGCATTTTATGGGCAGTTTGGATTTTTGTCACCTTTCACACACACATGCACAATGATGTCCTGTCTAGGACTATGGCTCCTAGAAGCTACAGAAATACAAATAATTAATAATACACACATTTTCTATTGTGCCCTTATGGAACACTCCTATATATTACAGGAATGAGACAAAATATCAGATATTTAATAGGGTTCTGTCCTTCCTATAGATTTTTTTGATCCATCCTATAGAATGTTATAGACAGTTATTTCCTTGTTACTGGATGGATCAAAAACCTAGAGAACAGAAATAATTCTCTATTACATTTTATAGGTGTTTGGAGTAATCCATACAGAACCCTGTTAAATTTATATGGAACCCTATTAGGTTCAGTTCTTCTTAAATTCTAAGAGACTTCTCCGTTAGGGTTGATTCATTAAGCGACAAAGAACAAACATTCAAAAAGGGAGAGAAAATGATTCCTCGTTTCCCAACACCACTAGCAGCAAGAATAAAAAAATTAATGATTTCACAAACATGTATCAGCACTTTCTGTTTATGTTTGCCTCTGAGCAAACAAAAAATTTACTCATCTGTTATTTATAAGGGTCAAAAGATACTGGCTTTGCTCTCACAGGGAAGCCGTCACTATAGAAGTGCTTCTTGGATCAAAGCAGGTCCTGGCTTGTCCTTTCAGCACATTGACAGAGTGAACCCTAAGGGTCAGCCAAGATTTGGAGGTGGTTATTTGTCCCTTTCTTCCTGAATTACTTCCTCAAATACCTCATCAGGACATCCGGAGGCCTTTAAGAAACGATTAAAGTTTAAGACCTCTGATCTGATCACTCATCTTTTCTCTACTGCCGCTTCAAAGGAGCTATGGATTTGGGCCAGTTTAAGGTTGTTTGATGCATGCTGTCTGCCCGCCAGCTATACACTGTATTTACTCTGTTGGGTCCATGCTATCTGAGACACTCCACACTAAAGAAGTTTGGCAGCCAGCTACAGCTATGCATATTGATTTTCACCCATCTTTTCTTAAAAAAAGAAAGAAACCAAACCCACAAAGCACCACCGTGTTTCTTTCAAGCACTCAATGGATAAATATCAAAATCTATTAAGACAACATGAAGGCTCCCAATAAAACAACAGAACAACCCCAAACTCCAAATTAGTACCAAGAAAAGTCTTTTAGGCTTCGATATTGGAAGGATATATCTTCAGCACACAATACTATATGAACAGAAATGAATGCTGCACTCATAAGCCCATTGCAACTCGTGTTTTAAAACAAACCAAAATGACGGTGAAGGGACGGGAGATAAATAAGCTCACAACTGTCTAGTTTATTTTACATAAATAGTTTTGCACCAGTCAACCAGCTGCACGTGTGAAAGTAAATATCTTGTTCACAGACACAGACACTGGGGGAGATACTCAGCTGGCATGAATTGATGGTGCTCTGACGACTTCCAGGAGCTATACTAACACTAACTGAGAATCCAGCCCGTTGCATGTTACAAACCCAGAGATTCTGGTTATGAGGGAATACAGTCCAAACCTTGCCAATTCTCACTTTGCATCCACTAACCTGTTTCTTCATTCCCAAAACCTGGCCCTCCTCACTTTAATTCTCAGCAAAGATTCTGCAACTGCTAAGTTGCTCGAGTGAAGTCTTCTATTACCACACCCTCCATTGCTTTAACACACACAGTACATTTGCTAGAAAACTTCATAATAGCAAATAATTAAAACTAAACTGTGCTTGTCAGAGTAAGTGAACAAACTACATTTTGCAATACAGTGCCCTTGAAGTTGTGCATGTGTGTTTGCTTATTCATAAATTCACAGAAAGCTGCTATTCTCAATGGGTCTCTCAGTGATTAGAGTGAACTAGCAAGGTTTAAGCACCTACCGGTTGATTGGTTTAGGAACACAGAGTAATTTTAATATTGTTGAATGCTTCCCCCTGACACCTCTCCTTAGGTAAATTACAACTCAAAATGGTTTCAAAATATCCTAGAAGTCACAACATCTGACTATTATGTTACATTAACATCCAAAGATTTCTCTTTGCATCTTTGTTCAGAAAGCTATTTTACTCAGTACTTCAAGCATGTAGCATCTTGAACCATCTTATTCAAACTGGTCCCTTTATTTGTCTTCTAAATTGCTCTGCTTAATTCTTCCTTACGCAGGACTGCAGTTGCAACTAAAATTTTTGTGGTTAACGGACTAAACATGACATCCCAGGAATCTAGGGACCCACACTGTGTTAAGTAATTATTGGTGTTATTAGAGCAGCACACCACAGGGAACCAGTTTTGCCCAGCAGAATGAAATGTCCAGTCCAGTTCTGCAAGTCATTAATTGTTTGAGTTCCAGAAACATCTTCATCATTAGTAACTCATTAGCGAATATTGCAGTGGAGGATTTCAGTTTCGATTTTTTTCAGGTCTCACGGCAAGTAACAAGAAGAGAAGGGGAATTTTCAGGAGATTAGAGTTAATATGCATAACTCCACCAGAAAACCCACCAAAATCATTACATGTTCAAACTAGGAAACAGGTTACTCCTTCCCACCCTCATCCATAAGGCAGAAATGCAGGTTTATGAAGAAATGATTTGTCTGATTAAAGAAGATAGACATATAGCTTTCTGGATTTACAGGTTTTATAATCGAAATAACAGAACAATCCAATGGTGTCAACACTCATTTGCAGGTTTTTAAAAGAGCTACACCATTTCAAACATGCCTGTCTATCTGGCTTGATGAGAGAAAACAAACTTGATTATGTCTAAAAACATTTATTTCTTCTTCTTATGGAAAAGCCAAGAAGCAATGAAACAATTAATTATCAGTAAATGCTATTCCTTAACTGTGTAATCATTTTACCTAGTGGATGCATTATCATCTGCAATGAATTAAAGTGATGATTAACAAAGGAAAACAAGAAGAATGCAGAATGACTGTGCGCTAGTGGCTAGATGGCAGGACAGGGAGACAGGAGGGTTCTGAATTATAAAGCTGAGATGGGACCATCAGCTCATTATGGGTGACATTCACTGTTGTCCTGAAGGGCCACCACCATCTAAGTCCAACTTCCAGGGTTTCAGTAGTACATAGGCCTAATGCCCGTCCTTTGCACAGGGTGAATTTACTCTTGTGACTTCGGGCTTCAAAACAAATCACTGTGGTAGAAACAAAGGTTAAATGAACCCCAAACCATGGCCCTCGATTAAAAATAATCATCAGGAAGTTGCATCAAAGCTGAAATTTCCAGTGTAATATGTTACCCAAGTTCCTGTAATATGGGCATTAACCTGAAATTTTAAACCTTAAAAGGAAAAAACCCATATCACTGAAGTACATAGGTTTCAAATCACGCTACAGCCCGCCATAGGTTTCAAGTGGCAACCTGTGCTAAATAATCTCTCTTTCTCTATTAGAAGAATTCAACACTTTACAACTGCACATGCCTCTTTTAGTTTCTATTTGTAGCAGCCCTTGAGGAAAATGAAAAAAATTATTTTTATTTCCCTGCAGTGAGTAACCACCTTACTTTGCTGCATTCCTATAGGGAACGAACCCATATTGGAGGGCCAATGTCAGAACAAAACAAGAAGGAAGGGATGGACTCAAGCACTGGGTTTGTAATATCTACTGCCCCTGGAACTTGCTTAGCCACTTAGTTGGTCCCTCTCTGGAGGCTAAGTTCAAGCATGGAACCTCTAGAACAGCCATTAAAATCAAGGTGCCATCTGCTCTTTATGGACAGGGCGACCAGATAGCAAATATGAAAAATCGGGACGGGGTAATAGGCGCCTATATAAGACAAAGCCCCAAATATCAGGACTGTCCCTATAAAATCGGGACATCTGGTCACCCTACGTATGGACATAGCACTTGTCAAAGCATAAGGCTTGTTCCTGCCCTCCACCTCACCCATATACTAAACATCAGACATGGCCACAAATTCTCCTGCAGCTAATCTCCACCCCAGAGGTGGTGACATTTCAACAAGTGCTGTATGTTTTACAGCATCTGCAGGATCAAGCCTCTAGCTTGCAAAGTGCAATAGGATCAATGGCACTGTGCTCATAATAACGTCTTCGCTTTATGATCACTGACATTTTTAATTAATTGGAAAGTATCCAGTAGATTATAATTCACACATGTACAGCCACTTAAAATCCACAGGACATTCACCAAGAGATCACATCATATTTTAAATGCAGAAACTCCAAACAGAGCATTGGCTCCGGAATCAAAACCTCATGAAATAATCTGCGGTATATTTAAAATAAAATTTTAAAAGTTGGTAGCTGGTTTTTTTTAACAACTGCATAAGAAAAATATTACTGTATGCATGCCCCATTAGTCAGTATAATGAATACACACTCATTTTTAAATTACCCAAACTCTTCTAAAGCTTTCTGGCTCAAACAGTTGATTATTTCTTATGAGAGGTACCAAGAGTCAACAACAACAAAAAACATTCCATGGAAAGTGTACGAAAGAGATTAACACAAAACAAAGAAGGCTGTTTAAAATGGTGACATAAATAGGATTCCGGTTGTCAAGGAGCACACATTTTAAAATGAAATTATACTGCATCTTCCTGAATGAAGCTATTATTGGAAGCTAACAAGCTCTATTTAAGAGATAAGCATTTAACAGAGTCAAACAGTTGGGTTTTTTTCCCCTCCTTGATTCAAATGAATAAAACTGAATATTCATTTGAATAATCCTTTCTGTAAAAGAAAAGACAAAGAATAGGGGAAATATATAAAGGAGGAAACAAATGCCCCCAGATGAGAGCATCTGAGCCAAGTGAGATCACTGAAGGAAGCAGCGACAGGATTCGTGACCTTCAGGTGAAAAAAACCTTCCTTTATCATCTGCTCAAAAAAATCATTTAATCCCATTCATATATTG